AATAATATTCATAATTTTTGACATTTTCTGTTTCTTTATGCAGTTTGTGTTTTTATGAAATTGTTTTTTATTTCTTTGAACCTTTAGCTCCATTCATGTATAGCCATTTTCGGTCACTTTCTTTTTACGGCACCTGAAGCCCTTTTTTAAAGAAGCTGGTCCTGGACTGATTTTGGGCGGGTTCTGGTACCAGAGGAGTGCGAGTGCTGGTTACCATAGCAACGCACTCTTTACTGTTAGCAGATAGCATTTGATAGCATTTCAACCAAATGTTTTTGCACTATTTCAAGTTATGTCCACCAGTTTCAGTAAAGGTAAACACCTCTTAAATGACTTTTAATACGACTGGTGAAAAACTGAAAACTCCATGGCCTCTGATTGAAACACGGTTAGCTGCAACGTTAGCCTTGTGTCTGTGGTGGTTTTGTGGTGGTGGACGGTCAGCACTAGATCATATACGGAATCGGGACGAAACCGGAAGTAACAATCCTACTTTCGAATTAGTTTTAGACTAATAAGTCCTTAAGTGGTTTTAGGCGTCTGTGTAAGATGGTTAAGGTTAGGGTTAAGGTGGTCTGTGTAAGATGGTTAAGGTTAGGGTTAAGGCTGGATCTGAGTAAGATGTCCCCAGTGTCCAACCCATTTCTGGGATGGATGTTGACGATCTATTGTTTCTATAAAGACTAATTCATATTTATTTTTTCAAACAAGCTCTGAAAGTAATACATCACAGGTTTTCTCTGTTGCTGTAATTCTTAGAGAGAGAAATGTTATTCAGCTAGAGATTTTTTTGAGATTTTATTTTTGCTTCTATACAAAAAAATAGATACAAATAGATTTAATTGAAATCCAGCCTGTTCAGTTTTTTCTTTTGTCCAGAACTAGATGAGTTTATCTTTAAATATGTAAGATCATTAGCCTGTCCGTCCGGAGGAGCGGATCCCTTTCTCATATGGGTCTCCCTCCCTGTGGGTTTCCCTAGTGCTCCCCAAGGTTTCTCACTTTTTCCCACTGGGTTTTTAAAGAGTTTTTCCTTGTCGATGCAGGAGGGTCTTGTTGGACAGTTAGTGTCCAACAGAAAGGATTGGTGATGATCAGGACACTTTAGCATTCTACAACATGTATGGACATTTTCTTCTGTGTGTGCTTTATACTGTATTCTTCATGTGTTTTAACTGTTGATTCTCTGACCTGTGTTGGTGATTTCAATGGTTTTGTTAAGTCTCTGAGATGACTTCTGTTGTGACCTAGGGCTATACAAGAATAAATTGTATTGTATTGTATTGTGTAAGTCAAGAAGCCAGAGCGAGTTTGCGCAAAACTTTGTCCATGAGCACTTTCATTGAGCGTGTGTGTGTGTGTGTGTGTGTGTGTGTATGTCTGTGTGTGTGTGAGTGTGTATGTCTCCGTGTGTGTGTCTGCTCATTGGTTGTGCAGTACTGGTGAGTGGGTGTGAGTGCTGAGGCCTGGTCTGTGCCCCCTCACTCGGGCAGAGGCAGTGTGTGTCTGTGTGTGTATAGGTGTGTGTGTGTGTGTGTGTGTGTGTGTCTGTCTGTGCCCCTCACTCGGGCAGAGACAGAGCGGATGGCTAAATAAGGCCAGGTGAGCGAGGAGCGCTGGTGTGAAGGCTGCAGTTTAGTCTCCACTCGCTGTTTATGTTGGAGGTGAGACCATTCAAGGTTAAAACACCTCCCAGACACAGGCAGGGGGAGAGGGAGGGGAGGAGAGGTGAAGGGAGGGGAGGGAGAGGAGGAGACGGAGGAGAGGGGAGTAGACGGAGGAGGAGAGGTAAGGGGCGGAGGGAGGAGAGGGAGAGGGGGAGAGGTGAGGGGAGGAGACGAAGGAGGGGAAAAATAAATCACAACAATAGATATCTCAGAGAGCTTTACAAACCCGTCAATTCGCCAACAACAGATGAACAATAAAATAAAAATGTCCATAAATGTCGTTTTACTTCCTGCATCAGAAAGTAAAAACACTAAAAACCCAGTGGAAGAAAAGGAGAAACCTCTTGTCTTCATTGTGACCTGTTGCTACACTGAAGGCCACTGAGCTCACATTAGTCCCCTGTAAAGTGTGCGTTTCTGAACCAAGTTGTGTAACCTCATTGTGTGTGTGTGTGTGTGCAGTCGTGTGCGTCGTGGTCATCCTCAATGAACGTTCCTGGGTTGCGGCGCCTTCCTGTGGGAGCCGTTTGCAGACGGTCCTCACTCTCTCATTAACCCATGCGGCTGCCATTAATCCGACTATTAGCATTAGCATTAGCGTTGGAAGTGTGCCGCGGAGGCCCGTTAGCTTGCGCGCTACCTTTGAATTGAATTTCTTTCTTTCAAACCTGCACAAGAGATAAACACAGAACCATTTCATCAAATGTACATGGTAAAAGATTGTTATTATGCATCCAAGACACAACATGAGCACAAGTAGAGTAGAGTAGAGTAGAGTAGAGTAGAGTAGAGTAGAGTAGAGTAGAGTAGAGTAGAGTAGAGTAGAGTAGAGTAGAGTAGATAGGGCTGGTGGAAACAGGGCTCTCCTCAGATCTAAAGCTGACCTGTCTTTGCCCTGTGTGTGTGTTCATGCAAGTGTGTGTGTGTGTGTGCGTGTGTGTGTGTGTGTGTGTGTGTGTACGTGTATGTGCAGGTGTGTGTGTGTGTGTGCGTGTGTGTGTGTGTGCAGAAGACACTGGCCTAAACTCTGTCTTACCTCATCCAGATTTCATCATTAGATTTCACGAGGTGTGGTTTTTGCTCGTCCTCTGCTTTAGTTCAACATTTCCAGATGAAGAAAAGCAGACGATTGTTACCATGAGAAGTGCACCGTGTGTGTGTGTGTCTGCATGTGTGTGCGTGTGTATATCTGTGTGTATCTCTGTGTGTGTCTGTGTGTATATGTGTGTGTATCTGTGTGTGTGTGTGTATCTGTGTGTATCTGTGTGTGTGTCTGTGTGTGTGTGTGTGTGTGTGTGTGTGTGTGTGTCTGTGTGTGTGTGTATCTCTGTGTGTGTGTGTGTGTGTCTGTGTGTGTGTGTGTATCTGTGTGTGTGTGTGTGTGTGTGTGTGTGTGTGTGTGTGTGTGTGTGTGTATCTCTGTGTGTGTGTGTGTATCTGTGTGTCTCTGTGTGTGTGTGTGTGTGTGTGTGTGTGTGTATGTGTGTGTGTGTCTTAAATGGCATGGATCATTACTGCTCCTGTACCCTCCTGCATCGGCAAGGAACAACAACAAAAAACATATGTGAGAAAGACTCACTGACGGACAGGCTGTAGATCCAGGACTGAGGCTATAGATCCAGGACTGAGGCTATAGATCCAGGACTGAGGCTATAGATCCAGGACTGAGGCTATAGATCCAAGACTGAGGCTATAGATCCAGGACTGAGGCTATAGATCCAAGACTGAGGCTATAGATCCAGGACTGAGGCTGTAGATCCAGGACTGAGGCTATAGATCCAGGACTGAGGCTATAGATCCAGGACTGAGGCTATAGATCCAAGACTGAGGCTATAGATCCAGGACTGAGGCTATAGATCCAAGACTGAGGCTATAGATCCAGGACTGAGGCTGTAGATCCAGGACTGAGGCTATAGATCCAGGACTGAGGCTATAGATCCAGGACTGAGGCTATAGATCCAGGACTGAGACTGTAGATCCAGGACAAATTTATGAATAACAAACACATAGAAGCCATTGGTTCATAAGGAACACTGGCCAGAAATGTTGATAAATGTCCATGAATGTCGCGGCTCATCATGTTCCTCCTGCATCGGCAAAGGAACCACTGAAAAAACCCAGTAGGAAAAGTGAGAAGAGATGGTATATCCAGGACTGAGGCTGTAGATCCAGGACTGAGGCTGTAGATCCAGGACTGAGGCTGTAGATCCAGGACTGAGGCTATAGATCCAGGACTGAGGCTATAGATCCAGGACTGAGGCTGTAGATCCAGGACTGAGGCTGTAGATCCAGGACTGAGGCTGTAGATCCAGGACTGAGGCTATAGATCCAGGACTGAGGCTATAGATCCAGGACTGAGGCTGTAGATCCAGGACTGAGGCTGTAGATCCAGGACTGAGGCTGTAGATCCTGGACTGAGGCTGTAGATCCAGGACTGAGGCTGTAGACCCAGGACTGAAGCTGTAGACCCAGGACTGAGGCTGTAGACAAACTAGGAAATTGCTTTGAAACAGACAATAGGACAGCGGGTGAATAGCAATGAACAGACTACAGCTGAAGTCCTGATAATGACAGAAAAACTAGGATACATAATAATTACAGCATTTGTTCCTACGGGGGAAAAATGAATGAGAATTTAAAAACACAGCTGCATGTTATATACGGCTACTGATTTATGGACTTTTTCCTTACCAACTTTGTGTTCATTTTTGTCTACATGCCGACCATGGAACCCCCGTGTGTTGCTTTTGTTCTGGGCCCGGGACCTGACCTTGCCTGTCGCACCGCGTCGGCTCCTCACCTTGAGACGCATACTTGAGGTTTTGTGTTTGGCTCGGGTGGGAGTTGGCCTTTACGGCGCTCGGCTCGCCTGAGAAAAGGGCCCAGCAGCGGCACTAGGGGCAGACTGAGCGGCTCCGGATGCCTGTGGTAGCTCCGGCGTTGCCAGATAAGTGCTCCGTACCTCCCCAGGCTAAAGATAGAGCAGAGACACAGGGGCCGGGATACAAGGCCTGGGTTTCTTGGATCGTTGGGAAGTGTGCTGCTTTGACAGTCTGAAACCATATGGCAGCTCAGACTGTACGTATTTCACTCAGACATAGTTAACATGGCTATATTTAAGATTGGACTCAACATTTTGACTAGTTTTTCAAAAGTTGTGTCATTACTTCCTGGTTTGGACTTCACGCTAACACTCCCAGAGCAGTCAATTTGACGGCTTTTAGTTTTGGAAGCGTGATTTCTCAGCTCTCACTTTTGGTTTTTGTAACTTTTCCTGTCTCGTTATGTTGTTTATTTGTTGCTGTTATTTTTATGACTGTATCTTGATATAATTAACTTTTTTTTACATTTTAATACTGAAGTAGCTTTTTGCTAAATTGAATAAAATATTAACCATGTGGAATAGGGTATGGGCCTCCACAATAGAGTGAAGCAAATATTGCCCCCTGCGTCATAGCGACTTATTTCTCTCTGATATTTGGACAAACACATGATTCTTTTGCCTCGTGGAGGTATTCTCAGATCGTAAGTGTCAGGACGGTGGATCGTAGGTGCTCTGTGGCTCTGGCTCTGTGGCTCTGTGGCTCTGTGGCTCTGGCTCTGTGTCTCTGTGGCTCTGGCTCTGTGTCTCTGTGGCTCTGTGGCTCTGGCTCTGTGGATCTGTGGCTCTGGGGCTCTGGCTCTGTGGCTCTGTGGCTCTGTGGCTCTGGCTCTGTGGCTCTGTGGCTCTGTGGCTCTGACTCTGTGTTTCTGTGTCTCTGTGGCTCTGGCTCTGTGTCTCTGTGGCTCTGTGGCTCTGGCTCTGTGGATCTGTGGCTCTGGGGCTCTGGCTCTGTGTCTCTGTGTCTCTGTGGCTCTGGCTCTGTGTCTCTGTGGCTCTGTGGCTCTGGCTCTGTGGATCTGTGGCTCTGGGGCTCTGGCTCTGTGTCTCTGTGTCTCTGTGGCTCTGGCTCTGTGTCTCTGTGGCTCTGTGGCTCTGGCTCTGTGGATCTGTGGCTCTGGGGCTCTGGGGCTCTGGCTCTGTGTCTCTGTGTCTCTGTGGCTCTGGCTCTGTGTCTCTGTGTCTCTGTGGCTCTGGCTCTGTGTCTCTGTGGCTCTGTGGCTCTGTGGATCTGTGGCTCTGGGGCTCTGGCTCTGTGTCTCTGTGTCTCTGTGGCTCTGGCTCTGTGGATCTGTGGCTCTGTGGCTCTGTGGCTCTGGCTCTGTGGCTCTGGCTCTGTGTCTCTGTGGCTCTGTGGCTCTGGCTCTGTGGATCTGTGGCTCTGGGGCTCTGGGGCTCTGGCTCTGTGTCTCTGTGTCTCTGTGGCTCTGGCTCTGTGTCTCTGTGTCTCTGTGGCTCTGGCTCTGTGTCTCTGTGGCTCTGTGGCTCTGTGTCTCTGTGGCTCTGTGGCTCTGGCTCTGTGTCTCTGTGGCTCTGTGGCTCTGGCTCTGTGTCTCTGTGGATCTGTGGCTCTGTGGATCACTTACGCTCCGTCCAAAGGCTGTATTTCCTCCTCTGGCTTTGTTTCAGGGTCACATGACACTTTGATTTTCTTGCGCGCTCTGCAAAAGCGCCCCGTGCTTTTGTAGTGAGGTGACGCAATGCGCGGTGCAGCGGCCTCCTCCACCTCCTCCACCTCCTCCACCTCCCTCTGAAGAGCCTCCTGAAGCCTCTGCTCAGGGTAAAAGTGTTTTTCTTGGACATTCCTCACATAGTTGCTCTCAGGGCCTCGCACACGCTCAGGGCCCGCTCTCTCACGTTCCATCGCAGCCAATGCATCAGGATCAAGAGCCGCCGCGACGCTAATATGTTTGTTCACACGGCCGGCTCGGGTTATTACAGCAGTCATTCAGACTGTTCCAGGGAACTGGGGTCAGTGCAGGGAAAGGATCCAGGGGCTTTGGCTTCTCTCTTAACACTTCCAGAGCAGTCAATTTGACAGCTCTTAGTTTTGGAAGTATAGTTACTCTGTGTATGTACCTCAGCGGCCTTTATAACTTTGTGACTTTTTCTGTTTCTATAGATAGTTTTTTATATCATTATTTTAAAGAAATTATCTGTTTTTATCTATTTTAAACATGAGGAATTCTTCCTTTAACTCAAATTTAAATTGTGTTCATTTTTAGTTGCTTTCTCTTTATCACATTTAAAAGTCTTTTTTCAAGGTCCTAGTTCTGGTCCTGGACTGGTTCTGCACTGGTTCTGGTTCGGCTTGGTTTTCCACCAGAGATAAGTGAGTGCTAGTTACCATAGCAACACACCATGGACTATCAGCAGTTAGTATTTGGTCTTTAGCATTAGATTTTCAACAAACCTTTTTTTGCAGCGTTTTCAGTTTTAGCAGTTCTTAAAAGTTCTTAAAAGTAAAAAGCTAATAATTACGTACTTTTAATAAAGAATAATTACTTAATAAATGCAAAAATAGTTTTAAAAAATGGTTTAAATAGGAGCAGTCAAAGTGACGGCTCTGGGAGATCTAGCGTTAAAACAGGGGAAGGTCACTTTGAAACCATGACAAATGAACCATGTAATCAAATCCTTGTAACTGGTTCATACGGCTCCTAAAGAGTCTGGTTCCATCTGCAGCAGGACCATGTCTCAATACACACCACACCATCTCCATACCGGGACTTTCAAATCGAGACAAAAGGATATAGTTCGAAATGTCACAATTCAAGACTTTGGGCCCTTATCTAACACTGCATTTGAACAAAAACACATCACCATCGGACCTAGGTCCATTTTTATTTCATTTCATTTAAAGTCAAAACACAGGAATATGTGGGATTTTTTGCATCAGAAACAATATAAAATAGAGGCGAGAGTATCTCAGTTTGGTAGAGCCTTGGTCTTTGAACTTAATGGTCGTGGGTCTGGGTTCTTTTCCCCATGACCCATGTCATCGACTCCCACTGATATCCACTGTCATAGTGTCCCTTGGGTAAAATCTTAACCCCACTTTGCCTGAAGCCCCCACTGAAACACCATAGTTGAAGCTTCGATGACAGAGAAGCCATCCTCCTGTGGACCCACCCCCTGCAGGAGTGGTGGGTCCGTGCACCTGATTGTCACCCGACCCCCCCCAACCCAGAAATGGACTAATAAAGGGGAAGAAAATGACGTGAGAGAAGATACATATTTATCTATAAAACATGTTTACAGCACTATTTTTCACATGGATTTTAGTCACAACTTGAGACCAACCTCTTCTGTCTTTTCACAGACAGACAAGATAAAGGTATTTCACAGAAAAGGCATGTGCACCAATCTTTGCCACAAGGGCCTGAAGTGAGCGTGGATGGAGACAAGTATATTTTTGATGAGGCTGCAGTATAATCGTATGGTTAAAAAACTCCAAAAGACCATTTCCACTGCTGCAGTGATAGAAGCGCTGCCCCGTCTCCCACGTGGGCGTCGTGCTCCCGCGGCGTCGTTAGCATGTTAGCACTAACGAGGCCCGCTGTCCAAACGCTGGAAGGACACTGGTGCTACGTCTCCGGTTTGGGTTCCATTAGGTGTGACACGAAGGCGGATCCACGGAGGAAAACCGGTTTCATCTGAGTCCTTCTACAACTACACCTGAAGCCAAACGATTAAAAAATAGTTGGTCCCAAAGTGCAGACGGAAATAAAAGAATATTAGTTACAGCTAATTTAGTTGAAGCAAAGACTGTATATAGATGGACAATGCTAACTGGCTAGCTCATTGAAGCCCAATTGGGAAGTGCTCAGGGTGAAGATTGACTCCAACTCACTCTGGCTCCTATTGACTTACTTATTGACTATCCTCCTCTGGCTCACATTGGTGCTGGCCTCTTCAGGACTAGAGGCCACCGGCGGTACTGCAGCCTAAATCCACATGTCCCCATAGACCTCAGAGTTCACTATCACAAAGGAGAATTCTATGGGCATTGTTGTGTCCTTTCTCATCCTGAACTTCTGTCTTTTCAAATCCATTGGTTCTCTCTCAGTCCACACATTAGTGCCACAAACTCGGCTCGCTCTCATCCCATTCTAGCTCTGCTCTGATTGGACAGAACTTGTTTCTCTGGTCCTGCAGAAGTAGAACCCCTGCACACATTCTGCACGAGACCAGGAGAACAAGAGGCCGGAACGCGTGGTAGGGACCAGTGACCCTAACCCTAACCATGGATTTGAATGAGCAGACATCTTGGCTCATTTCCGTGAATCATCAGGACGTCCAGAAGGTGTCAGAGGATTCGGAATAAGCTGCAAACTGTTCATAAACAAAGCCATTTTTAAGACGATCACACCCTTTCTCTTCCGCTGCTCTTTCCTGCATGCATTGATTTCCCTCCACCTCCTCGTCCTCCTCCTCTGCTGCTCTCTGGTTGATGTTTGCGGGCTGACAGGGGCGGGATGGGTGGGTGGTGGTGGTGGTAGGTGGGGGGTGCCTGTGTAAGCGCTGACCTCAGCTCCACACCTGAGCGGAGATGGGGGAGTGGAGAGGGCAATGCATCAGCCGTCAGCGTGGACAGGGCGCGGCCTACGGGACTGAGTCAGCCCGGGCACTGCTCACTATTCACAGACTCATAGATATAGACTTTGGTCGGAGAGAAGATGGTTGGCTGCAAAGCGCTTGGTGACTCTGGTCTGTGAGAGGCGCTGTATAAATAATGAATACTTAATTACTTGCTTGCTTACTAAAGATTTCACCATGTGGGAAATGACTGAACTGAATAGAATTTGCTTTAAGTGACTTTGTTCTGTTTTGAAATCATTACGGGTTTTTTAACTCATTGACTGCCGTTGACGTATTTGTCTGAGACCATCTGTTCTATCGGGGATTACAGGACAACAAAAATAGCTAGAAAGAAACTTATTTTTGCTGATCAAAGTAGACAATCCAGTCTTTCAGAATCTGGTTTCATATTTCATACAGTCTTACAATATAATATTCTGTGGGTTTTAAGAATCAGTGAAATGATCAAAAACGGCTGGCAGTCGATGAGTTAAAGACAACATTATATCTCGCTGCTATAAAGAAATAATCCATAGACACACTGCAAAAAATGACAAAATATTAAGTAAAAAGTGCCTGAATCAAGTGTTTTTAATCCTAATGTGAGCACATTCTGTCTTAAAACAAGATTCTCCTGTGGGACAGAGCCAATTAGTCTTTTTTCAAACAGTTTTTCTCATTCCGATGGAGATATTGTATGTATATTTTTTTAAAACAAGTTAATAAAGCTACTACTACCACTACTGCCACTACTACTACCACTACTACTACCACTACTACTGCCACTACTACTGCCACTACTACCACTACTACTACCACTACTACCACTACTACTGCCACTACTACCACTACTACTACCACTACTACTGCCACTACTACTACCACTACTACCACTACTACTACTGCTGCTACTACTACTACCACTACTACTACTACTACTACTACTACTACTACTACTACTGCTGCTACTACTACTACCACTACTACTACCGCTACTACTACTACTACTACTACTTCCTCTGTAGTAAAGTCCAGTTTGTCTCTGTAGCTGTAGGGAGAGCCTCGACTTTTCCGAATCAACCTCCAAAGTATTTCAGATAAAGTTGCTTCGGGTCTCAGTCCCAGAGCTTCATCTAAATCAGAACCATCCTCAGCGTCTGTGGGAGTGGACCCCTCTCTCAATATGGGCCCCTCCTGACGTTTCTCATGGAGTCTAAGGACAATGATGATCCGGGACATTTCTGCACATTTTGGAACATTTCTGGACAGTGGTTCTTGTGGACCTATGGCTCCTACTGTATGTGTTTGTGTTTGTGGGGACGGCATTTCCTGTTTTCGAATGGTTTGATTCTTTATTGTGATTTAAGGCGATAGAAAAGATACATTGAAATGAATCAGCACATCTGACCCTCTCACCTCCTCCTCTGGACCCTCCCTCACACCGCCTCCTCTGGACCCTCTCACCTCCTTCGCTGGACCCTCTCACCTCCTCCTCTTGACCCCCTCACCTCCTCCTCTGGACCCTCTCACTCCCTCCTCTGGACCCTCTCACTCCCTCCTCTGGTTCCTCTCACATCCTCCTCTGGACCCTCTCACTCCCTCCTCTGGACCCTCTCTCTCACCTCCTCCTCTGGACCCCCTCACCTCCTCCTCTGGACCCTCTCACTCCCTCCTCTGGTTCCTCTCACATCCTCCTCTGGACCCTCTCACCTCCTCCTCTGGACCCTCTCACTCCCTCCTCTGGACCCTCTCTCTCACCTCCTCCTCTTGACCCCCTCACCTCCTCCTCTGGACCCTCTCACTCCCTCCTCTGGTTCCTCTCACATCCTCCTCTGGACCCTCTCACTCCCTCCTCTGGATCCTCTCTCTCACCTCCTCCTCTGGACCCTCTCACCTCCTCCTCTGGACCCTCTCACTCCCTCCTCTGGACCCTCTCTCTCACCTCCTCCTCTGGACCCTCTCACCTCCTCCTCTTGACCCCCTCACCTCCTCCTCTGGACCCTCTCACTCCCTCCTCTGGTTCCTCTCACATCCTTCTCTGGACCCTCTCACTCCCTCCTCTGGTTCCTCTCACCTGCTCCTCTGGACCCTCTCACTCCCTCCTCTGGACCCTCTCTCTCACCTCCTCCTCTGGACCCTCTCACCTCCTCCTCTTGACCCCCTCACCTCCTCCTCTGGACCCTCTCACTCCCTCCTCTGGTTCCTCTCACATCCTTCTCTGGACCCTCTCACTCCCTCCTCTGGTTCCTCTCACCTGCTCCTCTGGACCCTCTCACTCCCTCCTCTGGTTCCTCTCACATCCTCCTCTGGACCCTCTCACTCCCTCCTCTGGTTCCTCTCACCTGCTCCTCTGGACCCTCTCACTCCCTCCTCTGGTTCCTCTCACATCCTCCTCTGGACCCTCTCACTCCCTCCTCTGGTTCCTCTCACATCCTCCTCTGGACCCTCTCACTCCCTCCTCTGGTTCCTCTCACCTGCTCCTCTGGACCCTCCCTCCCACCTCCTCCTCTGGGCCCCGGCGCACAGACGTGGAGGTGGGCATTGGGAGCTCTCTTCTCGGCAGGTGCAGAGGTGGAGGAGGCAAAACCACGCTCTGAACGTTCAAAAGGAACACAGGAAGAGCACGGGGGGAGTTTGGCAGCAGACGGAGGAGAGAAAGCAGATGGCTACAGTTTGCGAAACACACTTTTTCTTTTCATTACAGATATTGGCAGGGCAAGTTTATTGGTATAGCACAGTTCATATACAAGGCAACTCAAAGTGCTTAATAACACAAGACAGAAATAGTCACACAAGGCATTGAAATCATAAATAATCACAGTAAAATCCATCAGTTGTAACATAGCAAAACAGAGCTGTTATTAACCTGGATTTGATTATTGTCGGAGAAGAAGCTTGTCTCACATTTTCAGGAAGACTGTTTTAGATTTTAGCTGCAAACATCTGAAATACTGCCTCCCCATAGCTGCCTTTTCTGATTGGTTGCATTCTCTAAACTACATTGGTTGCCACTTTCCAGTCCATCCTTTGATAGGGTCTCTTCTCAGTGTGTGTGTGTGTGTGTGTGTGTGCGTGCGTGTGTGTGCGTGTGCGTGTGTGGCTTGGCAGCGGTGGAGCTCGGGCCCCTCCGCAGGCTGTTCGGGCCCCTGTGGATCTGAGCGAGTGTGGGAGGTGGAGGAGCACAGGTGAAGATGGTGAGGGCCAGGCACACGGAGAGCTGTATGAAAGTTCTCTGTGGGTAGGCTCCTGGGGGCCGCACACACACACACAGACACACACACACACACACACACACACACAGACACACAAACTCACCAAGTGGGCTGAAGGAATACACTTTGGAATTGCACATTATCTACAATATTTACAATACTCCACATTCAACAGCATTTATTATTAACATTTATGGACCAATGGCTCTATTTGTGTTTCTTAATCATTGCATTTCCTGTGTTTGAATTGTTTGATTCTCTGATCTGTGTTGACAAATTCAAAGGTATGGTAAAATTGTGCAATTAAAGATGCAGTCAGTGATTATTTTTCCAGATGCATTTTATTAACATTGTGGGAAAACGTCCCTAAACCCTAAAAGTAGTGAAGTTATCATGTGTTTTGAAATAGTAATGGAATTGACCAGATGCCTGTAGTCTCCAAAAATTAATACAACATATTTTGGAGCGGACCGATAAAAATAAACCAATGGGATGTGTTTACCCCCTTCACCCTCTTCCTGTTTCTTGCGAGTGCACTTGAGTTATTGGATTATTTTCTAAAACCTAAAAGGGCTGAACAGAAAATGCCAATCTCACGTGTGCCGCCCACTCTCCCTGTTGTGACAAAGAAAAGAAAATGCTGGATGTTTGGTTCGGTGGAGAGGGAGGGGGGAGTGGTTTGAAGTTGGTGCTACGGCTAAGCTAACAACATCGCTAACTGCCTCTTTAAGGCCTGTACAAAAATATATTGAATTGAGTTGAACAAGTTTATTGTGCAGTAGTCAGTAGTAAACAATCATTAAGTGACATTTACTATTTGAGAAAAACATACGGCACATTCAGAGGAGTACGTGGACTTATATAACTTTTATGACTGATTGGTTGTATTAGGGCGCGGCCATCTGTTGGGTGTTTTGTATTGTGTTGTAGTATGTGTCTGAATGGATGGGAGGGGATTGGATTAATATAAGCCTTTTGTTTCGACCAAAACCCTTTTCAACCCATGCACAGGTTTCGTTGTTTTCTCTTTCTCTCTTTATCATATTTTACAGTGAAAATGTGCTTCATGTCATTTTTGAACTAAATAAACAAATGAATGAAAAGGAAATATTAAAACTGACATAAATCATTCTTGTCGACAACATGTGAATAGAGACGACATGGTCATTACTTGTTGAATGGTTCACGCTTACATTCATTCACCATCTTCTTCAGTTCATAGATACACAAATACATGTATACACGTACACACATTTTTCATGTGTTTGTTGCTAATGAGCCCGGCATGTAGTGGGAAGAAGAAGAAGGCCCGCCCCATTAGTCATTCTTCCCAGATTGGACACAGTGATGTACAACGTGCTCAAAAGCCATTCTGAGATATTGTCTTTGTCTTGAGTTAGGGCTGGGTCTCATTTGTTGTCACTGGGAACATGTGTTTGTGGCTTACTTTGTGTTAGCGAAGGCAGAGGGCCGCATACAATGACACAGAGGGCCGCAATTAGCCCGTGGGCCTGAGTTTGGACGTGCCTGGTTTAGGGATTAATGATTTTAGAGAGAATCTAAGTTGATGCACAATTTTTTCCACATTTCTCTTAAAGGTCTATAGGAGGATTTTCACAAACTTTAGGAAAGCATAATGCAAAGTCAAAATAATTATATACAATAGATACAAGAAAACAAAACAAACACAAGAAGAGAGACACAACCAAGACAAAGCAGACATTAAAATACAGCTTGTGAAGTTTAAAACTAACAGTTAAAAGCTGTTTGATAAAAGTGGGTTTTAAGAAGAGATTTAAAAGAAGATACTGATGGTGCCTTATCTCCTCGGGCAGGTGATTCCAAAGCCGAGGAGCCCGGACAGAGAAGGCTCGGTCACCTTTCGTCCGGAGCCTCGACCTTGGAACGGTCAACAGGGACCTGCCCGAGGATCTAAGGCTGCGGGGGGGCTCGTAGGGGGTTAAAAGTTCAGAAATATAGCTTGGTGCCAGACCTAAACGAGCTTTCAAAGTAATCAGTAAAATCTTACAATCAATTCTAAAACGCACAGGGAGCCAGTGGAGAGACGCTAACACTGGCTCTCCACTGTTGAAACCAGTGAGAAGTCTGAAACCAGTGAGAAGGATTGCCAACTGGGAGGACCAATAGTCTTGATGATCCATCCGGAAATAGAAAATCCTCCTTTGTGCTTTTAAGTCTGTGTTCTGGTCTTTAATGAATTACTACTGAACAAAGAAAAGCAGAATGGAAAAAATGCAGGAGGGTCTAAGGACAATGGAGATGACTCTACATGAAACGACATTTATGGATTTTAACTGAATTTATGGACATTGGTCTCCGCCCCTTCTGGACCAATGTCTCTGTGTTTTTTGTCGTAGTTCTTGTGTTTGAACTGTTTGATTCTCTGATCTGTGTTGCTGAATCGAGGGCTTTCCGAGATCACCACTGTTGTGATTTAGGGCGATACACAAAAAAATTGAATTGAATCATAACCAGGATTATGTGTGTTTTGCAGTTGGAACCTTCAACAATGGCCTGGCCCCGGGCTCCGACACGGACGACGAGGACAAGCTGCACATCGTGGAGGAGGCGGACGGAGCCGAGTGCGACGGGACTCTGCCGGACGAGGAGCACCCCAGGGATCACCACTGGGACCGCGGTGAGTCTGGCTGAGCACACACTGCCACGGCCACTTTCACATGTTCCGAAGTGTTTGAATTAGTTTTGTGGGAACTTTGGAGATAAACTTTTCTCAGTGAAAGAAATGATCAAGTATTTCTGATAACCACAACTCTCGGATTTAAATGCTTTGACACACAAAAGATATATTTTTGTTTCGTAAAAATATACTTTGTTTATCCCTAACAGTATAACGTCTTGTGAAAGTAAAACGTTGTGATCAAATCAGACCAGAACATACCATTAGAAAACAGTTTATATTTTGTGTCCTTCTGATAAAGAGCCCTATGAGTCACTATTTGACTCTTTGGGCTGGGAGCTGATTGGCCGAGTGAGGGTGGTCGTCTCTTCTTCACGTTTCTGTCTGAAAAAGCTGACCTAAAGACGTGACAGAGGCCAAAACTGACTGTGAAAACGGGTGATGGAACCAAATTTGTTATGGTTTGAAAGTTAGGTACCCCAGCTTTAAGGAGCATTCAGACCAGTGCCATTTTCTCTAAAGTTATCTCTGGATGTGTTGTTCCCATGAGCCGCATTTGGCCCCTGAAATCATTGTCTATTAATATGATAAACTTGCAACATCGATGGTGGGAGGAACCTTGGAATGTTTTACCTCGTTCTTCTCAAGAAAACATCTGTGTAATTTTATCTATTCTAAAATCTGAATCCAAAACGTAATTATACATAGTTACATACATCGTGTCTCTTGTAATCCTTGGGCTGGTTTGTTTGGATCTTTGGTTCAGTTGTGAGTCACTGAACCTGAACTCATTTTGTTCAGAAAAATCAGAAAAAAAGTTATCCTTTTGTTAAATCAAATCAGATCAGATTTTATTTTAATGAAATACAGACGCTAAAGAATAGCTATAAAAACCACTTTAACTCTGTGTGTCTGTGTCTATGTGCAACTGTATGTCTGTGTGTGTGTGCGCAGCTGTTTGTGCGGCTGTATGTGTGTCTGTGTGTGTGGTGCGGCTGTGTGTGCAGCTGTATGTATGTGTGTGTGTGCAGCTGTTTGTGCGGCTGTGTGTGTAGCTGTATGTGCAACTTTACAGTATGTGCGGCTGTGTGAGTGGCTTTATGTGTGTCTGTTTGTGCGTCTGGTTGTGCGTTTGTGTGTACGGCTGTTTGTGAGGCTGTGTGTGCTGCTGTTTGAGGCGAGATGCTCCCAGAGGCTGCATGAGAGACATTTGAGTCAAAAAAGGAATTTCATTAAAAACATGCGAGATACAGAATAAAAACAATAAAATAGGACACAAAACAAACAGAAGTGGATTCACATGAATTTCTGCAAAAACAAAACTTAATCCTACATTTCTGTGGTAAGTTTTTGCTAATTTATTTAGTTTAGTATTTGTTTGTTACGTACGTCATTGAGACGAGAAGGTTCAAAATAAGTTGAAAACCATTGGATATGATTCAGTTCGGTGTAAGGCGTCTCTTCTTTCCCGAGTGGGAGGAGGTTGGTTACACTAAAAATGCTTCTATAAAAATGTCAGTTTGTAATTTATGTGAAACATTTACGGCCATTTCAAACCCTTTACTTTCCTCTTGAATACTCCGGCTGCGAAAGTCCCTCGTCCTGGCTCGTGCAGCGGTCCTCCTCCTCCTCGTGAGCCGCAGCTTAGGCCCTGTCCTGGGGTCCCGCTGTGGCCCACGCACACACACGATAAGCACATTTTACACACTTTAAATCCCATTTCCACAGAACCTGAAGAGCCAGCGCTGGAGTCATGTCGCTTTGATCTACAGCAGTCGTCCAAATACTTTACATATTACTTACTGGACTTTTAAGATTTAAAATTTTAAAGTAGCAATATGTAAGATTTTAATGTCAAATCAGAGACCAAAAATCAAGTCACCTCAAACATAATCAGAATCAGAATCAGAATCAGAATCATTTTTATTGCCACGTAAGTAACAGGAGGTCACAGACTAGGAAATTGCTTTGGCTCAGTGCAACAGTCAAAAAGAGATAATAAAAATAAGAATAAAAAACACTTCTAAAGAATAAATTTAAATTTAAAATAGAGTTACAGTTACTATTTACAATATAATTTATAATACATCATCGTTATGTGTTACACTACAATATTACTGCCTCTGAATGGTAAAGCATTACACAACTACTGCATTACTTTCACCAAATATATATATGAATACAAAATGTTGCTTATTATGGTCCATGCAGCTTGATACACCTCCAGTGCAGGACTGGGCGAGGCGTGATGCTAACAGCGGTCGAATGTATTATTATATTATGCTGATCTTGCGGTGGCATAGTACATTATAATTTATAGATATTGTTCTATAATTTCATTTAAGGTTAAAATGCAATGTAATGTTACAGACCTTCTCACAGGTTTAAAGGAGCAATATGTAAAAATCTAGCCAAAAGTGGTCCTGCAACCTCTCCCACTCTCCCTGACTCAGGTTGCCAGATATGCAGACGAATCTAGATGGGACCATAACAGCTGAATAGAAAACAGTTTTGTCAACAACAAATCTATAACCAACACCTTTTGGACAAAGGCCAAGATAGAAATCCCCGTTATATTCCTTGTTTTGTCGTTACTGATTTGAGAATCATAACGAGACCTTTTTAGTTCTGCGCCACATGGTACTTTACCAGTGAGATTAGCTCGACGCGGTGAGTTCTGGCAACCCGGATCACAGACTTTCTGATTGGTGAAACTGTGGAGGGCAAGACATCAAAATGAAAACAATAACAATATTTAGGCGCTGTAAAACTAATTTTGAAATATCTCGGCTGAGCAACATCCTCAGTCCTGGATCTACATCCTCAGTCATGGATCTACATCCTTAGTCCTGGATCTACAGCCTCAGTCCTGGATCTACATCCTTAGTCCTGGATCTACATCCTTAGTCCAGGATTGGATCTCTGAGTGGTTCCTTTCTGATGCAGGAGGGTTAAAGGATAGTGATGATCCGGGACATTTCTGCGCATGTATGAACATTCTGGACAGTGGTCTTCCCGCTCCCTATGGACCGATGGCTCCTATGAGCTTGTTTTTGTGGGGGCACCGCTGAGGGGATTTCTGACTTGATGTCAATGAGACACAATGAGAGCGTTGGACATTTGGCTGTGTGTCTTTCCTCCGTCTTCATCCCTTGGGTTCTGCTATGGCTTTGAACCCAGCTAACAGCACCCCCCACCCCCCCCCACATGCCCCTGGTTTGTCCCATTGTGTGAGGCCGCTGGAGGTGAGTGATACGGGGCAGGAAGCGGCAGACCTCACAGACAATGCCAGGGCAGACCCGAGACCTTCGAGCCCGCCGCGCTATCAAAGAGCCGGCTTAGCGCGCTCCCAGCCTCACCTCGGCCGGGGGAAGGGGCCACGTCATGCTCAGGAAGTCGTGAGCTCTGATGTCCAACCACGCCCTCCGCCGTGGCAACAACAAGACCAGGTGTGTGACGACCGTGGAGCTGGGTGCAGGACCAGGAGGCCGTGAAACAGAGACAGAGAACCCAGATGCAACTCCTCAAAATGGAGATTGGACTGCCAAGGATCCCAAACAGACAGTGCTCATTTTTCAATTCAATTCATCGGCAACAGCAGTCGTACTGAGGGACTTTACAAAGTTTTCGGTTCACCCACAACAGGTCGATCAACACAGGAAATTTATGAATAACAAACACATAGAAGCCATTGGTTCATAAGGAACACTGGCCAGAAATGTTGATAAATGTCCATGAATGTCGCGGCTCATCATGTTCCTCCTGCATCGGCAAAGGAACCACTGAAAAAACCCAGTAGGAAAAGTGAGAAGAGATGGTATATCCAGGACTGAGGCTGTAGATCCAGGACTGAGGCTGTAGATCCAGGACTGAGGCTGTAGATCCAGGACTGAGGCTGTAGACCCAGGACTGAGGCTGTAGATCCAGGACTGAGGCTGTAGACCCAGGACTGAGGCTGTAGACCCAGGACTGAGGCTGTAGATCCAGGACTGAGGCTGTAGACCCAGGACTGAGGCTGTAGATCCAGGACTGAGGCTGTAGATCCAGGACTGAGGCTGTAGATCCAGGACTGAGGCTGTAGATCCAGGACTGAGGCTGTAGACCCAGGACTGAGGCTGTAGATCCAGGACTGAGGCTGTGTAGATCCAGGACTGAGGCTGTAGACCCAGGACTGAGGCTGTAGATCCAGGACTGAGGCTGTAGATCCAGGACTGAGGCTGTAGACCCAGGACTGAGGCTGTAGATCCAGGACTGAGGCTGTAGACCCAGGGCTCACACTGTAGAACAAGGACTCAGACTGTAGAAGGAGGACTAAGGTAATGCAGTACAACATTGCTGGAGCCAGTGAAGATCCTTTAATATAATGTACGTGCAAAAAGCGTGATATCTTTTTCTCGTCTGAGTCAGAATTAGACACTCACCGTCAGAGTTTGGGCTTGGGAACACTTGGCCTTCTCCATGATTGAAATGACCCCCATAGGAAGTACCATCATGAGCAGGGCTGTCCCTACCTGTTATGTCGACGATCAATTAGTTGCAGATTATTCTTTTGATAAATCCAGGAGCGATACCTATACCTATTGTACATGTTTTTAGAGGTAGGGGAAACCGGAGCACCCAGAGGAAAACTATGCAGACACGGGTAGAACATGCAAACTCTAATCAGAAAGGCTCTTCTTTCTGATAAGCGAGAGTGCCATCTTTGCTTCATCACCTGCTGCATGGATTCTCAAAAGTGTGTGATGTCACTGGTATAACAGGGATCATGTTCAAAGGGTCAAAAACTAAACCAAAGATGTTTTATGTTCGTGGCATCTTAGACTTCAGATTCCAGTTTCAGCGATGACGTCATGTTGTTGAGGGTTTGGGAGGTTCGGAAAAGTGCTCCCTGGTGCCATGACTCACACTGCTGTCATCCAAACAGGACTCAGATCCAGAGAAACTCACGCAGAGAGAGACCAGAGAGAGAGAGACCAAAGAGAGACCAAAGAGAGACCAGA